CCTTATAGAATACAAATTATCTGTCATGAAAAACAGACTTCAGCCAGATCTGTGCTGTTCACTTATTTGGTATAACTATGTCGTTCAAGGCTGCAAACAGTCCACACTAGTGAGCAATGTAGTTTATACTGAACTTAACTCCCTGTGAAGACAGTGCTCTGTCAGCAGGAGAGTTTCTGCCAATACAACTCTAGCTTCTCACAGAGGTGCAGTCATTAAGATAAAGGGAGAGCTTAGAGTGATGATGATGGTTTATCATTGCCCAACACAGGGTTGTCAGATTCTGCAAGTTTTCGCCCATGTAGGTTTTTTCCTACCCATATGACAAAAATGACACACACTCAAAGTAAAGGTACATGAAATAAGGTGTGTGCTGATTGCACACAACACTGACACTTGGAGCCATGTGCTCCCGCTGCATTCAATCACAGCATTGCTACAGTTCAATTGGCACACCCCGCAAATTCTAGGTATGCAAGTGCAGTTAGCAAAACTGCTCTATCCCAGGAGATCGGTTTGGTTACGACAAACTTGTGGCCCACTGAAATGAAAGAGGGCTACTCATATGGCCCATTCACTAGGTTGCCCCTCACTAGCTCAGAGCGTTCAACAAAAGTGCCAAGATTTTTAAAAAAATCATTAGTGATTTTAGGTGCCCAATTTGAGACATTTTAAAGGAGCTTTGTTTTCCAAAAATGCCATGCACCAACAAATTGAGGTCCTCACAATCACTTACTCTTTTTTAAAATTCATGGTCAGTGTCTGTAAAGCATTCTGAAATTCTTTAATTACATTGTTTATGTAGCTGCAAAATATAATTACCAAGATTTTGTCAGCTTTGGCTTCACTGATGCCTTTAATATTTAGTAGCTCCTTCTTTGGTGCATAAGCAACAGCTTCAACTGTGTGAAATCCAGCTTCTTCCAACTTCTTCACATCATTTGCATTTATACCACATTGCTGAAAGAAAAAAAAAAAAAAAAAGATATTCAGGAGTAGATCCACTGAAGTCAGTTAGAGCATTTGCCTTGATGTTGGTGGAAATTGGATCAGGCTGGATCAGTGTGAGTTCATCAGACTGGAAGTGTAATACTACAAGGCAACATTAATGAGTGTCACTTTCCCATCTGATTGCAAATAAAACAGCTGAAATGCCTGCTTCTCTTGCATGTTTTAGTATCAGTGTTAAAGATACCACGTGTCATGAAAAAGGCACTATGCTCCATTTGACTCATTAGCTATCGAAGAAGGAGCAATACAGGTTCAGGAAAACTAGTCCATCCTGCTCCAACAGAATATTTGGCATGTTAATTTTATGTTGATTCAGGTACAATTTTATTTGGTTCCCCATGGTGTTTCAAAGCAGCAGTGCCCTGTGGAGCCCAGGGTCAGCGGGAGAGTCGCCAGCTGACCCCGGGCTCCACGCAGCACTGCCACTTGGAAGAGGCAGCAAGCGGGGGAAGCGACTAGTTGACAAGCATTTGCTTATTGGATAGTCAACTAGTCATTCACATCCCAAGTTTCAATGCATTTATTACAAAACCTGGAGTATCAGTATATTATCAAAGTGGTAACTGAACACAGTGTTTTGTATTAATGCATTCCTGAAGTTAATCTTTCATATTTTTAATACACATTTCTGGATAAGATTTTTCTTCTTTGACAAACATCAAACAGGCAGAGTCAGTGACAACTTTTAAATGCAACTTCTAGTTAAATATAAAGACTGTTGGTTTGTTTGGCAAAGAGGTCCAGAGCTAGTCACTCATTACTAGGGATGTTAAAAAATGGGTTTTTTAATAACCGCATAACAGCTGAAATTTTACATGCACGTTTACACCTGAGAGGGAAGGCAGCTCTGTGGGAGCCTATGCACACAGGGAGCAGGCTTTTAAGCTGGCTCCCACCGAGCTGCCTCCCCTCACTCCATCCTTATCCCCCCACCATCACAGCCAGCAAGATGGTGGGGCAGGTGGCTCCCTAAGAGCCCAGTGCTCACAGGGAGTCTGCTTAAAAGCCAGCTCTCCACAAAGACTTGCCCTCACCCTGTGCTGCTGCCTGTGATACAGAGGCCACAGCATGGGGGGGAAGAAGGTGGGTTGCATGTAGTCAGCCAGGTTAATCGATGAATCTGGGCTTCTTAGTTAACCATTTAAGCATTTAGACTGTCACATCCCTACTTATTACATACCTCTAGCCTTGATATGGGCTGTGGACCAAAGCTTTCTTCCTCAGTTGATGTCTCTGCATTTGCTTCATATTGCATTTGCATGGCCATTGCACCAAGTATTAGATACAACTTCCCCTAAGAGAAAATACAAAAAAGGGGTGCCACTGCTCAAACATGCCTCTCTTCTACAAGAGACCACTAGTTCTTGTACCAGCCCTAGCACTGGCTGCTCTGGCCCCAGGAGCCCAAGCCCGAGGCCTGCTGCTGACAGCACGCTGTTCCAGCCAGACTGGAGCAGTCCACCGGCCAGGATTCTTTTTAGTTGGTAAACTGGTTAAACATTAGGTTAATCTAATCCAGTTAACTGATTAATTGGGATTTTACATCATTAGTCTGAGCAGCCCCCGCCCCAATCCTAACACCCTGCCCAGACTTCCCACACCATAACCCTCAGCACTGAGACCTCTCTCATACCCCCTGCCCTGATCCCTCCTCATACCTACCAAACCTGGCTCCTGCATCCCCCATTCAGAGTTCCCTGCCCTGAGCCCCTCATACAACCCAATGCTGACTCCTGCATCCCCACACCATAACTCCTGCACTCCCTGTATACCCAAGCCCTGAACCCCCCCAACTAAGGATGTAAAATCTAGGTTACTCAGGTAACCAGTTAAATGTTAGGTTAACCTAATGGTTAATCAGTTAGCTGACTAGCAGGATACCTCACTACTCCAGCCCTCACGTCTCCATCCCCTCTGTCTCTGCAAGCTCCTACACTGAGGCTAGGCTGGCTCTACTGGCTCCCAGACCCTGCGCTGGAGAAAGGACTGGCTCTGCTGTCTCCTGGCTCCCATGCTAGGGTGGGGGCTGGCTCTGGCTCTGCTGGCTCCCAGCCCCCATGCCTGTGGCAGGCTGAGGATGGGGGGCTGCTCCCAGAGGAACCAGTTAACTATTACCTGGTAAGCATCACCTAGTAATGGTGATGCTTACCAGGTTCCCATTCACATCCCTACACTCCACTCCACACTTAAATTTCTTACAAGTACTGTTGTATCTCAAACCCTCCCCACCGCTTCAAGGCCCCCCCCACGGGGGGGTGGGGGGGGGACACAGGACAGGTTGTGATAAATTTCTCACCAGTGCAGTTCTAAGTTACTTTCACCCCTTGCTTTTAAAAGTCCAGGAGGCTCTGAAACCAAAGAGATCTATGTGAAGGAACATAATAACTGACATATGGGATGAGAGATAAAGACCACATACTGCAGTATTCTATCTCCAAGAGTGACTAATACAGGTGCTTCACAGAAGGTGAAAGAATCTCACTGCAGAAAAATGTGGCAATCTGTTCCCATCAGGCCTTATCCTGGACTTTAATATTTGGAGATGGTCTTAAGTCTCTGAAGCATAAGCTTTACTATCGCTTCCAAATTGTTTATAATAAAGTTTGACAACTTGGGACATTCAGATGTACCCATATGGATCTCCAAGCCCTTTTTTTAATCCTGCTAAATTCTTGCCCTCAATGACATCCATTAGCAATGACTGCCAGTCTAATTACAATCTCTCCCCTTGTGAGATTCTTTCCCCAAACCTTTGATCACCTTCTGAACCCCTTCCAAGTCTGTATTACCCTTTTCTCAGAAGGTTTGCAACTGCACAAGACAGTCCAGAAGCAGCTGTATCGCTGATTTCTATGACAAGATTCCCCATCTGCCCTCTCCTCTCCTAGTACCATTTGTAGTTCCTAGGACTTAGCTGCATGTTGAGTTGTGCTCTGTGTTGAGCACAGACCTTTGTTGACTTGTCTCCCGTGACGCTTTCAGGAGCTGGCACAGGACCGGGTGCAATGTTCGTATTTTTGGTTCAGCAACGAGGGGTCATCAAAAGCAACGGACAGGCAGGGCCCAGACGCAGCCCTGGATGACCGTACGCAGCTTTGAAGCTAGTGGGTTGCCCGGGCGAGGCTGAGCGCGGCGGAGACTGGAGGCAGCGCGGCCCTGGCTCGCCCAGCGCGGCCCGGGGTGATACCGGCCTGTGCCGGCTCCTCGCCCCGGTCCGTTGGCGTTCCCCGGCCGCTGGCAGATTCGGAAAAGCCCGCCAGTCCGTCACGTGACGCGCCGCTTCCTGGAGCTGCCTTGTCTTCGGGCTGCCCGGAAGTTGGTGTTCCTGAGCATGCGCGTGAGAGCTGCGCGTGCTCAGTAACATCTGTTGAAGCTGCTGCCCAGTCTCTGGGGATTCCATCTGACTCCTGTTCCCCGGGCCTGGAGAGGGCAGGCAGAAGAGGTGGAAGTCTGGCGGGGCCAAGCACAAGAGGGGCAGAGGAAGGAGCTGTGCCAAGTCTTCGGGCTGCCCGGAAGTTGGTGTTCCTGAGCATGCGCGTGAGAGCTGCGCGTGCTCAGTAACATCTGTTGAAGCTGCTGCCCAGTCTCTGGGGATTCCATCTGACTCCTGTTCCCCGGGCCTGGAGAGGGCAGGCAGAAGAGGTGGAAGTCTGGCGGGGCCAAGCACAAGAGGGGCAGAGGAAGGAGCTGTGCCAAGCTAGGGACAGAGGGCGATGTATTCCAGCCTGGGGCAGGAGGATGCAGTGACCCCACCTGGGGTGAGTCCTCTGCACTCGGGGGTGCTGGTTCTGAGAGCTATTGAATCAAAGTGTAGCCCTGCAGCTATAGGTGCTGAAGCACCCCACACTCCTAGTTCCTGCTTGCAGCAGAGCTCCTACAGCCCCTGATGAGACTGTGCATCGCAGCATCCAGGGCTCTGTGTTTTAAGCAGTGGTGCTGCACCTCCATGCCTAGCCAGAGCAGCTCTTCCCTGGCTTAAGGATGTATTGAGCTGCTGAAGACTCGCTTCAGTGACATATTGCTCGCTCGCTCGCTCACGCGCACACACACACACAACCCCCCCTCCTCCCAAATGATACAGTCGTCATTCATGGCTGTAGCAGTTGAAAGAATAACTTATGAGTTCACGTGTCTGCATAAAGCCTCATAGCAACTAACAAATTTGTGAATTGTTTTTTGGCTTGTCTGAAGAGGACGGCCTTGCCCTTGTAATCCATCCCAAACTTGATTTCACGCCTTTACATTATTTATTTTAATGGTATTTTTATTGCACTTGGCACTTTGCATTTGCCTTTCTTTGGCATTCTCAAGAGAAATGTCATGCTATTTATATTTGATAGCAAATAATCATTGAAGATATTAATAGTTGTTAGTAGAATTCAGCAATCACATCTCAGCATTTCTAATATAACAGCCTGTTTTTAATGCATTTATAATTTTTAATTCTACATGTTTGATTAGAACAGATTTACTAATTGGGATCATGTGAATTCAAGAATAATTGATTTATTGGGTAGCTGTCAAAACTGCTGTAGTTTCCATGAACTGCCACTAGAAAGTGTCTTTTGTGATATATTGATTGAAACATGACCAGGTAGATCATTGTTGCTACTACGGTTATATAATTTCAACAAATCTTATATGAAGTATCAAGTAAGATGTCAATAGAAAAGTTATCATTTGCTGAGTATGATTATGGTACTAGTATGATGCATATGTGTCAGTATGTAAAGGGAGCAGTTGCTCCCAGGTGATTTAAAGGGGTTCAGCCCCCCCAAGCCATTTAAAATTTCCACTGGAGCACTGCCATGGCCCTCTGGGTGGCTCTTAGGGCTACCTAATGAGGCAGCAGCAGCACACAACAAGCAGGGAGGGGGGGGGGGGAGAGAAAGGAAGGGAGGAGTGCCGCAGGCAGTACCCTTCTACCTGAGACACCCCACCCCCCCACCCCTTCCAAGAGCTTGGTGCTACCCTTCTACCTTGCCCAGGTTACCCTGTATGCTAATATAATTCATGTATTAGGACCAGTAGCCAGAGCCATCTCATCCATAAGACAGGTTGGAGTGGCCACCTAGGCCCAGGGGATTGTGTAGGAGGCAAGGCACAGGGCAGCAGCAGGGGTCTGCTTCCCACCCCTGCCCTCAGGTGGCTGGCAGAGCCTCCTCTGCTCCATCCGCTGCATTCCACTGCACTGCTGTAGTGAAGCATAGCTACCCAGATGTGGAAGATAGTCAGCAGAGCAGGCTGGAGCAGCCATGGACCTGAGGAGGGGGCAGCCTATCTGTTTGGGTTTAAATTAGGGATGATATCTAAATTTAGCAGTTACACAATTATTTGATAGTCCCTGGTGGCAGGGGCCGCAGCCTCTGTCCTCAGGGAGTTTGAGCCTCCCGCAGACAGGTATTGCTGCCACAGAACAGCCTCTGTTTGAGGCAGGACCAAGCTTGCTGTGGACAGAGGCTGCTCTGTGGGATGCCAGTGCAGCCTGGGTCCATGGGGAGCTTGAGACCTCTGCAGATTCAGCCCCTTGCCATTTTGCACTGCTGCCTCTCTAGCAGAAGCAACACGGTAGGGGAGAAGGCTCCATAGGATCTAGTGCTCATGTGGAATCAGCTTAAAAGCTGGATTCCCACAGGCACTGGCTCTCATCTCCCCCTCCCTTGCTGCTTCTGACAGAGGGAGCTAGTGTATGCATGGGGGGAGGAGAAGAGGGGAAATACATGTAGTCAATAGAATTAATAAGCCTAGTCTTATCAGTTAATCATGTAATCAACTACACATTGACAGCCCTAGTTTAAATAGCCACTCATTAAGTTCATTCCTTGTATCCCCACTAGACTACCTGAGGAAGCTGCTTTTCTGACTACTTGTTAGCTTGTGTGGTAAAACAAAAGTTTACTGTCGTTGTTGGATTGCTACGTCTTGTGGGAGAATAGCCACCAACTCAAGAGGCATTTACCCTACTTCTCAGCAGTTTTTCTCTGATAAGGTACCAAAAAAAAGGGGTAAGCTCAATGGTACCAGTCTTCTATGTTGATGCTGACCATTTCTGGTAGATGGTACTGGAGCCTTCTCAGAAGGCTTAGAAAAGCTGCAGTACTTTCCTGACTCACTGGTACTAAAGGGAGCCCTTCACTTTGGATACTGAGCCTCAAGGACCAAGTCTCTGAGTTTGCTGTCCTGCTTGGAGGGTGAAGTTGCTGGGAGGTGGATTTTTTAAGAGGGGAGCTCATCTAAGATCTTTAGATGAAATCACTGAAGCTTTCCCTCTTATATGCAAATGCCGCACTGAGA